GTCGTGTACCAAGGCGTGTGGCCGCACTGTCTGTGCTGTCGGTGTGGCTCTTGTCTCTGCCGTCGTCATCGCTGCCATCGCCACCCTCGTCATCACTTTCATCATCGGCGTCGATGTCACTCCCCTCATCAGTGCTCTCCTCTACGCTCTCCTCGCGTCCATGTGGCCACTGTCACTCCCACGACTGCTATCGTCATCGACTTCGTCCACGCTCGTTTCTGCATCCTCGACTCTGGCAGGGGGCTTGGTCGCCGTGCCTGCGCAGCCCGTGCTCGTTGTTGTCGCGTACCAAGGCGTGTGGCCACACTGTCTGTGCTGTCATCATGCATAACCACCTGTCCTTATTTCCTCGCTTGCGAGGCTGTAGCAAGGTCCAATGTGCGACGGGTGCCCGGCCGCATGGCCATGCCCTGAACCCTGGACATGTCACTCTTTCTCCGTTCCCCTGTTGCTCCAACCACACTGCCACGGGCTCCAAGTCTCTGCACACGCTCCCCGAATATTTGTGACGCCTGTCTCAAACTGTATCTCGGGGCCGGTGGCTCATCGAACTCGACGTCACGAGCATTGTTGGGGGCCCTCAACATCAGTGGAGGTGACATGTCGCTTGAACCCCGATGCGGCGCTGTCGATGTGCGATGGTGATGGTGGCTGTCGTGGCAAGCCACGCTGAAGATGAGTGGAGGCCGTTGTGACCCGCCTGCATGAGTTTCAAAGGTGGCCTGAGCGGCTGAATAGTGCTGTATCCTCTACCATCTGCGTCGTGTCTCTCTGTGGGTGGCCCGATGTTGAAGTGCGGTTTTGATCACATGGCATCGGCCCACGCTGTCAAGGGACTGCGATACAAGTCCCTCCCTCCATCGCCGGCTGGTGCTGTGGGGCTGGCAGGGGCCCATGACACCGAAGCAACAATCGGCTATAATCCAGGAGGAGGAGGTCCGGTAAATATGTGTGTGTCTATCTTCGTGAGGTCCCTGTCGAAACACCCCGCCAACTTATCCATCGCATTTCTCCACATGGCATGGATCCCCGCAGTGTGTGGCCATGGTTGTCCTCTGCTGGACACGGTGTATGATCCCTGTCGTGTGCGGGACTGTCACGGGATGCCTGTCCTCAACGGGACCCACCGTGGATCCATGTAGTGTGGGTGCCATCATGGCGCCCTTGTCTGGGGCAGTTGCCGGCGCTGTCGCACAACCTGTGTTGGTGTCTCTGGCACCAACCTCAGTAGTGGTCTCCCCCTCCGCTCCAACCACAACAGCATCCACAGATGCCGGCTACGGGGACAACATCTGATGATTCTGTGATGAAACATGCTTTTTTAAAGCATTACTTTTTTCAGAGTGCAGGTTCTGTGATTCATCCAATGTCTGATGAACAAGATATGCGCAAAATGGGAGGATTAGCTTCTTTGTTACCTTATATGCTATGATGCTAATTGGCAGTATGTCTTTAATTGGGTTTCCTTTTTTAATTTGATTTGAAGGATGTGATCTTAGAACTTACTTTTTTTTCTGTTTTTTTTTGTTGAAAAGAGGCCCCATCTATTGGTGGGGAGCATCACCTGCTGGAAAACGGGTCCAGCGTCCCATATATGTGCAGAATTTAGAGAACCTCCGAAAGGGTTGTAGGAGATTCCCACCAGCATTGATTGCCCTGGATTCCAGGGGATCGACTGAGCGGGACCTTGGAAGACGGGTTCAGAACATCTCAGAACAAAACAAAACGGGGAAAGTCCTGCCAGCGTTGATTGCCCTGGGGTCCAGGGGATTGACTGAGCAGGATGATGGGGTGGGGGGGGGCTCTTCACCCTAGAGCAGGCGCCAGATACCTGCTACTACCCGCCCCTAAATTTGCGGAACCCTGCTGTTGGCCCGCTCACACTGCTCCATACCATTGCATGTCCACCATGGTCAGCTGATGGGGAGGGAAGGGATCGGGAAAGTCTGAGGGCGGCCGCAACGGGATCCTTATACTAAATATACTGTTAAGTGGTAATTTGGGTTTTTGGCTTGAATGTCTTTCTGAACGTCCTCATGTGCCTGTCCTGCACCGGTAGGGTGTCATATGGCGGCTCACCCTCCGATCCGCAGGTCTTTGCTGTGACGGTTTCCTGCGTCCATCCGCTCGTCGGGCAGCCCAATCTACCATCAACGCCTGGTGACCGCCCCGTCTGTATATCCTCTAGTCCGTGACAAGTCTGCAGATTTGTGGCATCGACGTCACCCGTCGTGGGCAACGCCACCTCCCTCTCCATCTCTATTGCGATTGATCAATCGATCACCCCTCGATTGTGGCTCGATGGTCGATGCAGCGACCAACTCTTCACGCATGCGAGCGCCAGTCTCAAGATCATTCTTCACCTGCGCCCTGCGTGAGAGCTCATGTTATGTGGTAGGTTCGCACAAGAAGTTGCACTCGCCTGCTGTCCAACCTGTCCTGCCTCTGCGAAGCCGTCTCTCCTGAGGGTGTCGTGTCGGCATCGACCATCGCTCCCTTCCGTATTCCCTCCGTGCCATGAGAAGGGGACTCGCAGAGCTCTCTGTGCATGCCAGGTGTGAAACTGCCCGGCATGACCTCGACAATTTGGCCCAAGATATTGCCCATTAGGAGGCGCCCCCAAATCCCCCAAATCATTGAAAAGGGGTGGTGAATCACGGACATCATCCACACCCGCTGCTGTGAGTTCCGCCCCCCCCCACGAACTCCCTCAGATGCTCCGCCAGCGCCATCCACCCCCCGGACATCTGAAGGTGGCTCGTCCAATACCAGATGTTGAGCACGCACTCTGGGGCCCCTCTACAACCTCTGCTTTGTGGCACTCCCCCAGTGCTACTGCCTGCTGCGACGGTGGAAGCACGATCATCCGAGGACGCCAGCCTCTCCCCCTCCCTCGGTGCAGCACGCGAACCTCGCAACCCACTCCCACCTGCTGACTGTCCTGCGGTATGGATCAAATACATTTCGTCTCACATATATCGTATCGATGAGATGTATATCGATCACACTACAATGGCTTATTATCTATAGATAGATGCCAATTGGAGTATGTATTGTATTTGTATTGTATATAGACTTGAATACAATGTCACGGGTCTCACTTCACTCACAAACTCAATCCTTCTTCGGGAAAGGTCACATACGTATGTGTATTCCGTAATCCCCACATTTCGTTGGCCATGATCGCAATCCCCACATTTCGCAATCCCCACGTTTCGTTGGCCACGATCGCATGGCGAGTACGGCAGGCCAACGAAATGTGACCCAATGCCGTACTCGCTATGTGACCTTTCCCCACATTTCGTTGGCCACGATCGCAATCCCCACATTTCGTTGGCCTGCCGTACTCGCCATACAAATCCTCCACTCCCTCTCTGTCCTCGAAAATGTCAATTTGTTGTCCCTAAACTCCATTTGGTGTCCCCTCCATCAAGATTGGTGCGCTGCAAACCGCTCGTGACTTCGTAACTGCATTGGGTGAGGATATACGCGTCTGCATTTCACACCAATCTGGCGCGGTACGAATCAACCACACCACTGAAATACCTCATATCGCCATGAGCAGGGCATAAAAGGAAAGTGCGCCGTGTGCTGGCTCAAAATCATTTGACACCGCTTTTGCACCTGTGCATTCAGCCACGGCAGCAAGGCACAACGTGTGACTTGTGCATACCACTGCGAACCAACCGCCGCAACAGATCGTAAACAGGATCCGTGATGCGGACCAACGTCTCAATCGAGTCCCACCATCTACCATGTCTCACCTACCACCTCACCCATCTGGCGAGTCTGTCAATGCGTGTGTCCCAAGGGACAAGACTCCAACCCGCCGTGTCGACAGTCCTCTCCAAAGCCTGCCTCACGACGACAAGACTCTCCAACAGGGCGAAGATCGATGTGAAAATGTCTCGCTCAGGTAAAGGCCCGTGTGTTTGCTCTCCAGCTTGAAAAGGTGGAGAGCGGCGCCACGCACTTTAATGAACCGCACCACCGCTCTGGCCCGCGGTATAGTGTTGTTGTTCCATGTGACTATAAGAAGAACTTGTTGCAGACATGGACCGCACATGGGATCCAAGTGATGCGTTTGTATTGTGGCCTCATCTTGGGATGGGCAACACGTTGGCAGTGGTGGTATACGCTGCTGCCAGTTCATTCGTGCAGATAGCGTTGACCCATTTCAGGCCAAATCGCCCGAAAACATTCACCCACCGCTCCAAAACACCAGGCCCGTCATCACATGAACCTTCCGTGTTCATTTTCCTGATCACACCTTGCGATGCGGCGGCGACGAAGTTGACGACATGCCTGTGATCGTGAGACTTCCTGCTATCTGACATGATCATGACGCCCGTGACGTAAAATGGTCCCCTGACGTCTCTCAAATTCGTAGCCATGTCATCTATAATCTGACACACAGACTCAATCGCAGGGATCTCATTGCGAGAAGGCCATAAAACCTTGATAAGCCCTGGCAAGTCTGCGAAGTGTCTCTTGTACTCCTAAGCATCGCTGTGGAAAATGTTGAAGGGTATCTGCTTGCTGTACACAAGTCGTAGAAATTACTTATTGTGGTCCAGGTTTGTTTGCAATTTGGTGCGCAGTGTGTAATCATGCATGCCGCCGCTCTCGCGACAGATAGGACTGGATACGTTGCCAGTACTATTGGTTTTTGTTTAGCCTAAGTATTTCTTGTTCAAGTCTGCGAAGTGTCTCTTGTACTCCTAAGCATCACTGTGGAAAATGTTGAAGGGTATCTGCTTGCTGTACACAAGTCGTAGAAATTACTTATTGTGGTCCAGGAGCCATTGGGAGGCGAGGACGTCCTTGATAGCAGGCTGTCTCATCTTCTTGTGCAGGGTCGTATTCCCCCCTTTCTCTCTCTCCTTCCTCTTCCCTAAACTCTCACCCACCAGACCCTTCCCCGGCCAATGCGTATAAGGCTCCTCAACCCCGTGCTGCGTCGCATCGCCTTCAACATCGATTACGTCATCCAACCCCTGCCCTCCATCTTCCTCTTCGCCTGGACCTAACTCGCCCTCCCCTCCCACACCACCATCCGCATCCATAGATGGTGCACCACCATGGAGCTCCTCGTAACGTTGCAACCGCTCCAACTGCTTGCCGTCCATCTTGTCGTTAGTGTTGAAAGGATGTCCAGCAGTGCCTCGTCTATGACCTGCGGACACCCTTTCCCCTGTTTGAAGTGCC